TCCAGATAAAGAGCTTTCTAAGTTACAGCACAGTACAAACATTTCTACTACAGTAATGAAGTTTAACATGTCTGCACCCATCACCCTTGATTGCAGATGAAAAGCAAGAATTTAGTAATTTTTACTCACCTATGAAGAAGTTTACTGACAAACAGTTTAAGCAAAGTTTATACTGCCAACATTTCATATGGAATGTTAAGAAGTGTATGATGTCATATGTTTAATAAGGTTAAGCACACCTTCATCTAGCTAGTAGCTAGATGGGTATTTGTACTAACAGCCTAACCCTTCACTTGAGGTACATCAATAAGCCTAACAGGCTCTCTGTCTCAGACACAGGTATGCTGTAGCACACACACTCCAAGCAATAATGTGTCTTGGATAAGTCGCTCCACAGCATTCTCGCTTGGACCGTCGGCTTGCTTTGGCGTCACCAGCAGCTTATTTTCGTCTAATATTGTTATGAAATGATACTTTTTCTACATAAAAATATGTTTTTCGATGTTCTACATTCAGCACCAACATTATAATGAATAAATATATTATATTTATTCATTTCTAATGTAATGTTAGGAAGCTCTGGGCAGCTTGTTGGGAAGTTTTGAGTAGCTTTGGGTAATTAGATATACCCAGCTGGCTGGGTGTGGCAGTCCACTCTTGTTGTTTTGGGCTCACCATACCAACTTAGTGGTTCATTATGGTCAACACATATGTAGGTAGGTATATACAATGTGTGTGTGTGTATATAGTGTAATAACAGCAAAAAACTGCTTGATTGATTGTAGAATATATGTTACATATGTGAGCCCCATAATTTTGAGTATAACTATGTTCCACATATTGAACTATATAAATTCCATAAATTTCACACTTTTGAATAATATTACAGCAAAAAAATGAAGAAGAAATGAATGAGAAACATCAAAAAAATTGTGAAACATTATATTCGCGGCAAATGCCGCCCCACTGGGTGGCAGGGTCAATTGACCCCGAGCACCCCATCGCTCAGCGCTCCATCGCTCAGTGCCCATAATTTCCTCAACTTCCCAGCTCCATCACAGCTAAAGTATGTTACATACTACAATTTTTTTTTTTATTTTCCCGTGATCAGAGATGGCATTTTAACAATATAAGAAGAGAAAATAATGTTTTGGAAAGTATTTATTTTTTTGGCACACCCCAGGAGTGTCATATTTTAATGCAGAGGAGTGCAGTGGTTAAAGAATAGAGCTGATACTGAGGGGCATATACTTTTCTCAGGTCTTAGACCCTTCTCCAAAATCTTGCTTGTGTAGTTGGGTGGTTCAAAATAGCATTAAATCAAAGCCTGACAAGGTTAACTATTAAAATTTGGCTGGGAGAGTTGCAAAGTTTGGTTAATATGCACTCAAAATTTTTCTAATCAGTAAAATGAGTACAGATTATAGTTATGGAAATAAAAAATTCTGATATAGTGCTCATTAATAATATGAATCAAATTCCCTTACATGTAAAGCAGCTAAAAGTTTCATCTGACTTGTCAATGCAGTCTGAGTTACCATCACAATGATAGTTATATGGAATACACTGACCATCTAAACACCTCCATTCATCTTGTAAGCAAGCTATTTCCAATCAGGAACCAAGACAAAAAAAAAAAAAAAAAAAAGTAAGAATATTAGTAACATTATTATTAAGCCAGTAACAAAGTAATATTACATGATCATATACTAGTTAGAGTCAAAATATGAAACAAGACAGACTTTTATATGCATAGGGTTAATTTGTTAGAAGGGAAAAATGCCTATGAAGTGTAGATATGGTTTTAAAACGGCAATTAAAAGTTAGTATTCCTGCTCCTTATGCCAGGCTTATTTCACAATGGAAACTATTTGGCATATTCATAAAAAATACCATCCCCTATCTCTACATACATGCACAAATTTAAAAATATGAATATACAGAGGTAGAGAGAGGAAAGGTGAAGGCTACTTTAATCCTCATCTTATCATTTTTCAAATTACAGTGTATTTCCCCAACCAATTAGTCTATATTCTCTCACACTGCCTCTCATGGCTGCAGTCATATGCATCCACCTCTGCCACCTGTCGCCATATTCACTGGCTGACTCAAATCTCTCGTATGTTACTTCATGTTGTCTTTATATTATTTTCTTTACTCAGTCTATGGTTGCTCATTTGCTCCATTCATTCAAACAGACAACCCATCGTCTGTTGATGCGTTGTACGTCGTGTTACCTCTAGGAACCTTCAAGGTATGCTGTTATTGTTCTCTCACTTTTGATTTCTTGCTTTTTACTTCTTTTTTTTTTATATTTTCTACCTTATAGTCTAATTGCACTTCATCCTTCATTTCTTAAGCATCCTTTTGAATCTCCCAATATTAGACCAAAATACTACTACTCCAGGGAGCACATGGTAGTACAGTAATGGTGGCAGTAGTGATGGTGGTAGCAATAATGGCTTGCTTGCTTGCTTGCTTTCCTCCTTTCTTTCTTTCTTTCTTTTGGTTTCCAAATTATTATCTGAAGGATAAGTTTAAAAGTTGTTCTTTTTATGAACAAATCCACAATGGGCCATGATGAGGGTTCAAACTTGCACCCGGGATGATCCATGGGAGTGCATGGGGGAATTGTGTAAAACCCTGGTTTGTGTCTCGGAGAGGCTGCAGGATCCGTGTGAGGACAGGGGGAACTCCCGGCTGCAATTCTTTTAACCATATCATGGCCTAGTCGACTAAGATAGTGTCTGGGATCATCCTGTGCGTAAGTTCGAACCCCCTCATCATGGCCTTTGTGGATTTGTTCATTTGATGCATCACGATATTGTGATTTCTGTGTGTATTGTTCTTTTTCTTTTTCAGCTGTACAGACCAATCATGTATTCACCTAGTTGTACTCATCTAGTTGTGTTTGCAGGGAACTCTGCTCTTTTGGCCCACCTCTCAACTGTCAATCAACTGTTACTAACTAATTTATTTGTTTTATTTAATTTATTTTTTTATTTTTTAATTCACCCCCCCCCCACACACACACACACACACACACCCAGGAAACAGCCTGTAACACCTGTCTAACTCCCAGGTACTTATTTACTGCTAGGTAACAGGGGCATCAGGGTGAAAGAAACTCTGCCCAATTTTGTTTCTCACCGGTGCTGGAAATCGAACCCAGGTCACAGGATTTTATGTCCAGCGAGCTATCCACACAGCCACCGATGCCCGATGTATGCACATTTCTATGTTTAGTTTATATTTACGATGAATAATAAATGAGGAACGTTAAAATTTCATGAACATTTGTATACTTATTACTGTTGGGCATAATCTTTAGTTGTTTTTAGAAAATTTTAGTTTTTCCATCTGTTCTCGTGAGCTGTAGAGAACATTATGTGATGTACCTGAAGATTCCTGGAGAGGGTTTTGGGATTTCTTTTACTCCCTGAGCCCGGCCTGAGGCCAGGCTCGAACCATGTATGTGCTCTACATTTGTAGAGAGCATTTATGAACATTTTGACACCAAATTTGTAGTAATAACCCAACAAATTATTTATAAAATATAAAAAAAATTGTAAACGCACTACATATAGCCGAGCGGAGCCCTGCGGAGATCGAAACGTTTACAGTACATAATGCACAGAGAGGTCGGACCGCAAAAGTGATAATTTATTTAAGGTACTACATCCCTGGGCCCAAATAAGAAAATTTTAATGAGTTATAATTTGCATAATTTGTCTTATCTCTTCCCCATCCCCATTAACCATATGAACCTCTCTTTCATCAGTACATGTTAGTGTTCAAATTGAATGTCAATACATGATGTCATTCTCTAAACATTACATTACAACTCAACAAAATATACACAAAGATAATTTTATGAAATCTTAAGATTTCATGACCAAACACACAATACTTTATGAATGATGTACTGTATAAAAGTATAAAATTAGATCCGTAAATAATCCTATAAATGAATTATGATTAAAAATAATATGAAACTTAATGTTTTGAAAAAGTCAGGTGAAGCTTCCCAACAGTATACAACAAAATGAACAAGCTGCAATGGAATTACACAACTTAAATAATTATCTCGCTTAACTAAATTTAAACTTTGCAAGATTATATAAATTAGCTTTTTGTACATGGAAAAAACTACTGTATATAGTAAAACAGAATCACAAATTATTAAGTAAAATTATAATAATTAATGAGTTTCAGTTATTGATAACAATAATAAAAACCTGAGCTAACAATTAACAGAAAATACTTACGGCAGCCATGTTCATCAGACCCATCACTGCAGTCACTTCGTCTATCACATCTTTTTTGAATGCTGATACACTGCCCATCAAGAAGACAGCGGAATTCATCTGCCCTACATTCTATTGAAAGATACACAAACAAAAATTAAATTTGTATCTAGAGCATTAAAATAATTACCTTATACTGTACAAATTTAGATAAAGAAAAACACCTCAGTCTTAATCATAATTCAACATAGTAAATTAAATAGAAACATTTCTGCAGAATGGCTTTTAGTTTTAATTATTATTATTATTTTAACCACCACATAGCTATCCACAATTTTATGATCTACATTCATTCAAGAAAGATATTCTATTCTGAGGCTTTGCTCATAATCTCTAGCTAAGGAGATACCATGTGTAAGAGCAGTCTTTTATCATTATAAAAAAACAGTGTTAAATGTAATGAAACGTAATTTTCTGGGCGAGACCCGGAGGTTTCCCGGAGCTATCCAGGCTGATAAGCTAATATTAGACTTTGGCATCAGTCAATGTGAATGGAGTTCTTAGGCCTACCGGGGACCACGAGCCAGAACCTGGCTCCCTCAGAGGCGCACAAGGAACAATGGCCTATAGAAACCCCCATGGGGTTGGAAGCATTCTATGTCTGCTTTGTGTGTGCCATCGGCACACAGAAAGTTAAGCATCCCAAAACAAACCCCCTATCCTGGTTAACACGCTAAGGGAATCCCAGGCAGGGTACTGCGAACCGCGCCCAAGACTACCAAACAATCTACTAATAGCTGAACCCTTGGGATGTGTCCACTCATAGAGGGGGGGGGGCAGCAAGGGGTACCCCCAACCACACAAAAACTGAGAATAGATAGAATAGATATAGAGAGATGTATATACACTCCAACACAGAAAGAGCAACCACCAAGATAGACCCCTTCACCAGGCAGAAAAATAAAAACAAAAGCAAAACCCGGCAAGAGGAATACGTACCCGAGGTGAAACAGAGCCGGCCGTTATAAGAGGTGAAAACTAGCTGTGCAGTACCCCGTGCCCCTACCAGTGATGAAAACTACCCTCCTACCCAGAGGCAAACACAGGTAACAAAGACCCCAGTTGACTCCAAGGGCAGCCAAGTACCAAGCAGTAAACGACACAGCACGGGTAGATCCCAAGGCGGCTTGTGGAAGGCGGCCCCAAGGGTAGTACTTACAAGGCACCTACAGAAGGTGGCCCTAGGCGCATGCAGTCCGAGTACCGAAGAATATTACTCCTGGCTCGCACACCACCAATAGAGACAGTCCATGCCACAAGGCACAGAATTTGAGACAAATTGCTGGAACCAGAGGCACAAGATAATGTCAGTAGCACATTAGCCTGAGAATCACCAAAGTGGGGGTCTGGGGCCCCTCCCCTTCCCCCTACCAGGAAGGAGGGGGGGTGTAGCACAGACAGCGGCACAGCGACATGATGAAGTCATGCTCATTTGCTAATTTTTGTTTGGAGAGTTCTGTCCACTCGTTCAGATTTTGGTAGCAATAGTTTCACCAAAATAGGGATTTGTTTTGGGGTGCCTACCTTTCTGGGTGTGAGATCCAGTCAATGGCAGACATAGAATGCTCCCAACCACACGGGGGTTTCTATAGGCCATTGCTCCTCGTGCCTCTCTAGAGGGGGGCCAAGTTCTGGCTCATGGTCTCCGGTAGGCAAGAACTTTGTGCACATTGACTGATGCCAGAAAGTTATAAATATCCATTCAGCCTGGATAGCTCTGGGAGCCAATGGGGCATTCCCCAGAAACTACTATATTTGCATGAATATCAGCTCGGCCAATAGTAAACTGCAGGCTAACTTTTCAACATACTCTGTGCAAAAATACTTGGACCTCAATATTATGCCAAGCTGAACCATAAATTTAAAAAGTGATGGCCCAAGTTGAGCCTTCATTTTAAAAACCCCTGCATCAAAATATAATTCACATTCAAAATTACTCTTAAACACCCGAGATAACTATACAGAAGAATATGCCAACATATAGGATATTTTTTTCATGATTACTTACTATATAAATTCAGTTATCACAAATGTTATTATGCCACAGCAGTAACTGTCATGGTACTGAACAAAATTCTATTTAAATTACCCATGTATACTGATTATGTATATATGGTTTTCACAACTCTATAGTTACAATGAATTACAATATACCAGGTCAACCAATCATTATCTGAACACAAGAGTAAAGAACTAAAAAGACTTATTGGCCTATACAAGACATTCATTCATTCAATGATGCACACATTTTATTCAGTCATTGATAAGTATGAATCAATCAATAACAATAAAAAGAACTAAGAAAACCGAAGAAGGACATTTGGCCAAACGAGGCAGCTCCTATTTATATCCACCCAAACCCATTCATATGTATGAGGAGTTTGGGTGAATATAAATAGAAGCTTCATACGGGGCAATAGGTAAATATACTGGTATAAATGAGTTTGGGTAGATATAAATAGAAACTGCCTTGTATAAGCCAATGGGCTTTCTGCCCATTGGGCAGAAGTTCTTAGGGTTCTCGTGAATCTTATAAAAATGAACAAATATTTTATTTATATATATATATATATATATATATATATATATATATATATATATATATATATATATATATATATATATATATATATATATATATATATATATATATATATATATATATATATATATATATATATATATATATATATATATATATATATATATATATATATATATATATATATATATATATATATATATATATATATATATATATATATATATATATATATATATATATATATATATATATATATATATATATATATATATATATATATATATATATATATATATATATATATCGTACCTAGTAGCCAGAACGCACTTCTCAGCCTACTATGCAAGGCCCGATTTGCCTAATAAGCCAAGTTTTCATGAATTAATTGTTTTTCGACTACCTAACCTAACCTAACTTTTTCGGCTACCTAACCTAACCTAACCTCTACAGATAGGTTAGGTTAGGTTAGGTAGAGTTGGTTAGGTTCGGTCATATATCTACGTTAATTTTAACTAATAAAAAAACTTTGACGTCATACATAATGAAATGGGTAGCTTTATCATTTCATAAGAAAAAATTAGAGAAAATATATTAATTCAGGAAAACTTGGCTTATTAGGCAAATCGGGCCTTGCATAGTAGGCCGAGTACGACGTTCTGGCTACTAGGTACGACATATATATATATATATATATATATATATATATATATATATATATATATATATATATATATATATATATATATATATATATATATATATATATATATATATAAACAGTATATATATTTATTTAATGTACTTATCAGTGAAAGAACAAATGAATGTAAGATAATAATTAATTATTATACATTCATGCATTGATACATATATTTATTAATTGGTACATATGATCATAGGAACATTCAAGATCAACATTGGAGTCATCTGCCACATGCCGCTGTGTTAGCCTTGCATTGAGCAGTGACAGATCTGGATGGGACCATCACCCGCCAAACAAAGCTCATCAAAGTATGTAGGTATGTACACTATTCACTCTATGTACTTCACATATGTATGTACGTATGTACTTCATTACTTCATGTACTACAGGTATGTACTTCACACTCATCTACAACATGTAAGTATGTACACTATTTCCACTTTTCTTAACATTTTGTATCCAAATTAAATATTCTATAAAAAAAAAATTGTGCCTGGGCAGACATGCGAGTATAACTATAACCGCACTTTCGGGGTTAATTAAATTTACCTTAAACATTACTATCTGCAGCATCTCCTTTACTGAACAGGCTATATATTTCTTCAGAGATATAGTAAGGAGATTTATTCTTATTAAAAGTAATGCTTTTATTCTCTTTTGTGTAGTATAAATACCTATGGTTGGCATAGAAAATTAAATTGATTGAGTATGCCTCCTTGTTCCAATTACATACAATTATTATATGAACAGATTGATAGTAAATACCTATACCATAACTGTTCACATTATTGACCTCAGTGCTAGTAACAAAAAAAAAAAAAAAAAAAAAAAAAAAAAAAAAATCCTCGTGTACTTTACATAAATGTACAGTATACTTACTATCCTAAATTTATAATATGAATAAATCAAGCGATGAATGTAATGAAATGCCCTTTGTGATGGAACCCTCAGTAGCTCCTTGACTAAGCTCTGGTCCTGCCATGTTTTATGGAAATGCACCAATCCTCTGAGGCATCATTGCCTACCGAGAGCCAAGACCAGAATCTGGCGCGCTCTCAGTGATTAGAGGAACTTGAGGATTAGATATTAACCCAAAGCTGAGAAAAACATCCACCATAAAACATAAGCACAACAAAATAAGCAACAACTGCTTGAGTAAAATAATCTCTTTTATTACTTCAAGTAGAACATTGTGTAACACAACAATGTACACAAAATGTGCCAGCAATAACTTCATTAATCAGACAATCAATCAGCAAACCTGGTCAGACACCAAGCTATGGGGGGCAATGACCACCACGATCACCACAATGAAAATGCTACACTAAAATTAACAGCATCAAGCCCATTTATTTAGAATGGAAAGCATCGCAAATTACCAGGAATCAAACTACAGGTTGTTCAGAAAAGGTAAATATGGTGTTAATTTAATATATTTATCAAGCTTCAGAACTTACAATATTATATTTTATGTCAATTAACATGGACGATTTGGAAGTTCATTGCTGTACTTTACTGCCCTCAGTATTAACTGGAATGGTCTTATTCTCTAATTGATACTGAATGCTATGAGACATGCAAACAACACTGGATACAGATGGGGGTTGCAGAATGAAGATGCTCTCAATCCTCACATGTCCATCAATATAAAATATAAAATTGTAATGTAGTTCACTAAATATAACCATTTCCACTGGAGCATCTTTTACTGAACACCGTGTATATAACAACATTACATAATTAATCTAACCATAGTAATGACAGGTTTACATATTAACAGCAGTTACAGGACAGGTAACAAAATACTGTACATAAATAACAGATTTACCCAAGTTACACAATGAATCGAAATTGAGCTAAACCAGCACATTAAAATAAATAACAAAACATTCAGCAGTATTACGAGTATTTTACTGGGTAAATTTTTCACTCACTGCATCCCTCTTCATCTGACTGATCAAAGGGGCATTCAACAATACCGTTGCATCTGTACTGTTGATCAATCTTTTGCCCACTCTCACACTGGAACTCGAATGGACCTGTTTTAAACAGATCAAATTTTGCTTTATAGCTATTTTAAATTTCAATACATTTTCTATCCTTTTCTAAACGATTTAGAAAAACAAATAAAAATTCTATGCTCAATATGTATTATACTGTATATGATTTTTCCAGCACCAATTCAGGGTATAGTAGTATACTACTACTACTATGTATTCTCAGAAATCTCAATTTAAAGTGTGACGCTGAACACATTTATTAAGGATCTTGTGGAAAATATAGGATATATACAAGGAATTTTATTATACAGTACAGTCTTGAGTTTGTAAATTATGTATGTAAAGTAAAGATTTATTAACATTATCTAACACAAGCAAATATAGCACAAATGCACGATGAGGAACGACCACAATAGGAACTGAACTGCAGGACCAAAAGTTAGAAGGGAAATGAAACCCAGGAGAAAAATTAATCCTTGTAGACTAGATCGACCCCATGAATACAAAACAATATATACGTAGCCAACAAGAAATAAAGACCATTGGCCACCTTTAGAAGAAAACACACAATTGGACATTCACAAACACAACGCAGAGATCACAAGAAAGCCACAAAACCAGGAAGAGAGGCAGGACAGGGAGAGGCAGTGTGACAGAATCTGCCAAAACCCAACAAAGAAATAAAAGGCAAGCCAACCAGGGCAAACAGAAAAATGGAGCAGGCACTAGTGGGGAGAAACAAAAACTTTCCCCACACACCTGAGAGCATCAACACGAGCCCAAAAGGAAATGTGTCAAACACTAAATGAACACCCCACAGACAGGTGCCATGTATCTGATGAAGACACCAGAGGACTGCCTTCCACCTATCAGGTAATGCACCTAGGGATCAGAAACTCTTAGTAACAAGCTTGAATGTCCAACAGCACAAACTTTGGAGCCCCAGCAACCACAATAGTGCAGAAGCTGAGGCAGAAAATGCACCACAGAAAGAAATGGCAAAACACATTACCTAGACTGAACCCTTGATTAAACAGTCAGAAACGGACTGAAAACCGAGGGACAAAAGGCGTGGGAGAAAAACAGAGCAAATGGCCTGGGATACCGGGCCCAAAACCCAAGGCCCAGACCCAAACACAGACAGAAAACACAAAACCGAGTGAAAAAGCAGCACCCATGTGTTCCCAGAGGAACAGAAGATGGGCAGAACACCCTAAAAGAAAGAACAAAACAGAGAAACAGCAATGGGAGGATAAAACATCTGACTTAGGTGAAAAAACACCCCCAAAAACATACATGTAAAAAACAAACCACAGCGCCATCCTGGCAGCCAGGCGGGAAAGCAACCTGCATAAAAGAAAATGGCCACCAAAACAAAAGGAAACACGGTTAACGTAAGATCCGCAATCACACCAGGAAATGGGTGAATATAAAGCAGACGAGAAAAGGGAGGTTCAGTGAGTCCAAACAGGGTTTTCAGGGCCCGTTGGCTGACTACTGTGGGAAGCCCGGGCAAGGTGTTGCTAACACGTCAGACCCAAAGCTAACAAGGGGGGTAGTTCACAACACTGAAACCCCTGCGATGAGTACAATCATGGGAGCCTAGTGGAAGGCCACCAAATTATATCATAAGTGGTCCAATAGCCTCACCAGGCAGACCCCTCACCAGGCAAAAATAAAAAAAACACACAAAAGTACAACGTCCCCAGAGGAAACAGGAACTGGCTGCTGCATACGTAGCTGCCTGCACAAAACCTTGATGCCCCAACCAGCAACAATATCACTCCCTACCCATGACCAAACAAGGGCCAATAAACCCCAGCTGGCCCCAAGGGCCAGGTAGATGCTGAGCAGCAAGAACCCCTACAGAAATGGCATCCCGAAGGCACTAGGGAAGAGAACCCCGACACGCAAGGGTAGTACTCACAAGGCACTTAGGGAAGGCTGCCCTAAGCGCATGCACTCCCAGTATACTTAAGAACACCTGGCCACCACACCACGAGCAGCAGAGGACACCACAATGCATAGAAAATCGAGGCCAGAGATGACAACCAACCTGGATTGCATTAGCTGACGAACTGCAATGGCTAGGTCGCCGGCACGGGGGGGTGGGAGGGTTGTGCCGACAAATGACCTGGTAGTGGAGTGTGATATTTGCTTGTTTTCTTAGGATTGGAGGAAGTTCTGCCCCTCTGTTCGGTTTTCAGTTGCAATTTTCATACCATGTGGGGTCTGTTTTGTTATGCCTACCATTCTGGGTGCCAAACCCCGGTTGATGGCAAATAAGAAAAAAAAACCAACCACTGGAAGGTTTTCCAGGGCCATTTCTTCCTATGCCTCTCTGAGGGGGCTAGGTTCTGGATCGTGGTCCCTGGTAGGCTGACCTCCTATGACTAATGCCCTCATCTAATGAATTGCATATTAGCCCAATAGCTCCAGGCAGCCTAAAGGGCTCCCACAGAAATATTGGTTTTGTGAGGATTTTTGGTAGCCTGGGAACGTATCTGCCATTTATAGCATTGCGCCTATGGAAAATCTCAATCCACATTCCAAACGAATGCTTTACAAACACAGTCTCAGAACATAACTCCTTCGTAATTGGCGAATTGCCTGTACTGTATTTAAAAACAATTCTGAAATTGAAAAGCATAGCATAGGCTCCTGACAATGTTCTTTATATGGTCTTCTGGTGACAGTTTATTATCTAGAATTATGTATAGATCTCTTTCTTTATCAGAATTCTTCAAATCTTTTTCATATAAATTGTAGGAAAGGTTGTGTGACCTATTTTCTCCTATTCCACATTCCATAACATGGCACTTATTCACATTAAATTCCATCTGCCAAGTGTTGCTCCATACGCTTATTTTGTCCAGGTCTTCTCGAAGGGTATGATACGTCATCTAAATGTCTTATCTTCCCTAGTATCTTAGCATCATCAGCAAACATATTCATATAATTCTGTATTCCTTCTGGTAGATTGTTTATGTAGACAATGAATACTTCTGGTTCAAGAACTGAACCCTGTGGTACTCCACTAGTGACATTTCTCAAGTCTGATACATAGATAAATGAGGACAGAAATCAGAGGCTATCAGAAATTTTTGTATCCATGGTAGAAGCCTTTCTATCACTTCTCTGAATGATGACCAAACCACAGATCAGAGGAAAAAATGACGACGTTTCAGTCTGCCCTACACCATCATCAAGTCTTGTGATGACGATAATGGTCCAGGACGGACCGAAACGTCATTGTTTCTTCATCTTGTAATGTGTGGTTTGGTCATCATATCTTCAGCCATGTTACTGTGACTCAACGCCTGCACTCTTCTATTATGTTCCAGTTTCCAGAACCTAATTCTTATGTGGGATTCTGTCAAGTTTTTTTTTTTGTCCAGATAAATTGTGTGTAATTACTTAACAAGTAAGTGCACTTACAGGATGAGAGCTGTGTTGGTTGTGTATGTAATGACCACTAGTACGCAAACATTCTGAACTCGTATGGATACGAGGTAACTAGATAAAAACTATTTACGTGGTTGGAGGTAACTATATACAGTACTATAGGTAAATCAACACCCTTTTTCTTTAACACCAGACGTAAAAAATCCAGATTAATATCTACTGTTCATTTTTTTTTGCAGGGGGAGGGGGAGGGAAGTGAATGGATAAAGATGCTGTACAGTACAGTGACACGTCGACTTAAGAATGCCCTCCTTTACGAACGTTATGGTTACGAGCCCAATTTCTTCATAAAATCCGAATTGGGTTGCGAACTTTGCCTTGGGAAACGAAGTTTGCTGATACACATATGGCCGACCTAGTGCGTGGTGATACAGTGACCGTGCCTCAGTTTACCAGTGCCTCCCGCCCAGTGACAATCGCGCCTGAATTTATTGTAAAGATTTTCAATGTTTTTCGGATTTGTGGGTACTTGAACATAAAAGTTATTATTATATATCTTGCCATGGGTCCTAAGAAAGCCAGTGGCAAGGTTCAAGCCAAGAAAACACGAGTGAGAATAACCATTCAGGAAAAACAAAGTGATCATTCGTAAACATGAAAATGGTACACGGGTTGTTGAACTAGCTAGGCAGTACAACAAATCTATGTCAACGATATGCATGTTAATTGCTAAGAAAAAGGACATTATGAGTGCTAAAGTTGCAAAGGCGTATCAACAATCACGAAACAAAGAATACAAACACTTGAGGATGTTGAAAAGTTATTATTAATTCACCCAGAGAAAGCTGTAGTAGGCCATTGTGTTAACCTTTTTAATGACAATGTGATGTCTCACTTCAGGCAAGTGTTACAACGTAGGGAAAACAGGTGTCACTAAACTGATTTTTAGTGAGAAAACCAGCAGTGAGCCACAAGCAGGTACTAGTGGTATGCAGGTAAAATGTGCCAGAGAGTGTACCCCAGAGAAGTCAGCACTATAATGGAAGGGGACTTCCCTTTCAAACACTAACACCTCTCCTCCTCCCCTCCTCACCTTCTTCCACCTTATACCAACAAGAGTCATCAATAAAATAAAGCAATAACTTGTACATACTTTATTACTAAAGATTTGGGTGAATTTGGTATAAAATTTACTTTGAAGTTAATTTTTGGGGGAGTGTGGAACAGATTAATTTAACTTGCATTATTTCTTATGGGAAAATTAGCTTCGGTTTACGAATTTTCAGCTTAAGAATCATGTCTGGGAATGGATTCAATTCATAAGCTGAGGTACCACCGTATATAGATGGACAGACAGACAGATATTGATAAATACAGATGGAGAGAATGAATAATGTGTTCCCATTATACAGAATCATTAATTTGTACTGTGATTGGCTAATGGCATCAATCTTCTATTTATCTTTGTTTTAAGTGGCAGCAGCAGTTGAATTTCCATTATTCTACATAGAATTTTAAAAGAGCCACAAACTGTAGAAAATTTAAATTATTTTTCAGAATTAAAATTATCCCCATTGTTTTTTAAAATGTGCTTAATATGTTTTATATCACAAATATATTTCTATATAAAAGTAATTACAATAACTTTTAATTGGTGTATACAATTGTGAGAACATAATACTGTTCATACCTAAAACTCTCATTTTCACACAAACTGTGCCAACTTTGCATGACTATACCTGTTTTGACAACATACATGTCTGAATTTGAGAGAGATATGGACAATGGCTGTCTGGAATCAAAAAGTTCTATAGAAGTTAGAATGCATATACAATATCATTAAAGTAAAGATAGATTACTGCATTGCTGTACATGATGAGGAAAGCATATTTTTCTTATTCCTATAAATACAATAGAAGTACTTACGACAGCCATGCTCATCTTCTCCACTGATGCATTCCTCATAGCCATTGCAGCGTTGACTGATATCTAGACACTGGCCATCATCACATCGGAACTGATCAGGGCGACATGGATCTTCTGTAAGACATCATAACGTGTTAAAATATTTAAATACTTTAAATAAATACTTTAAAACAACTACAACCAACAATATCAATAGCATCCCTTTACAAAATATTCTTGTAGAAAATGGTAACCATTACACTTTAGACATTCTCTTACTCATCAAACTTGCCTCCTGTGTTGGAATTGGAAAGAATTATGAATAAGACGTCTAATATTAAAAATAAAACATCCAACAGAACATGATGTTCTCATAATAGTTAAATACAAAAATCAAGTACTGTATTTACTCAATCGATCAGTGGTAGCTAATTAATGGAGACTAAACTGTCCTTTACTATAGAACATTATATATATCTTAAGACAATTCAATGAAAATAAACTTAAAACAACCCAATATTTTAATAAAAAAATTGCCTCTAGGGAGATATAAAGAACTCGGCTGTGTATTTCTAATAATATTATAAATTAAGATATCAAAATCTTAAATGATTTTAATAACAAATTAAAACAAAATATCATTATCCCTCAATATGACTACACAGTATATTAGTATTTCATATTATCAAGGCAATCCAAAGAGGCATTCTCAAGATATCAGTCAGAAAATATGAAGAAAAAGAAGGCCTCCCTCACTTATATCATGTTACTAAGTTTTCAGACAAACAAATAATTGTAGTTACTAAGGAAAATTATAGCAAACAATGGCCTATACTGTATTTAGATAAATCCGTTGAGAAAGTCTCTTTACATTTTCTAGTAGAGGAAGAGTGATTTGCTAAAACGCATGCAGAATCATGTTCAAACTATACATAAATTACACTGGATACAATAAAAATTCCCCAAACATATTTCCTTTATTACATCCAAGAACTAGAATGAATAACTTAATTAACATTTTAAATCATACTGCAAGAAAATAACTTGCCCAAGCCTTCCTTTTACACCTTTTACACCAGACTAGAAAAGAAAAGGGAAGAGTGAAGACCAGGAACAAAGATGACGGGAGCCCAGGCATAAGCAATGAATAATCCAGACAAGAATCAAGAGATATCTCAAAGAAGGGGAAACCAGCATCTTGCAAGTTGACACACCAGTTTGCCACAGTAAGACCTCTACAACAGCTAAAGGCAAATGCTGCATACACCCATGGAGGATCTGCAATAAGACCCAGAATAAAACAAGTACAGGTACTGCAGGCAGATGCAGCTGAAGAGCTCAAAACAATACAACTGAGCCCAGAGAATGGCGGCCAGATGATGGACCACAAGGCCCTAAGGCTAAAACACGCCTGAACTCAACCATCAATCAGAGAAGAGAAGAATGGGTTACAGCCGGAAGGTGGAAAAACCTGGAAAAACAAGAAATGTGACAACGCTGCTGACCTAGAACAGATCCAAGACACCGTGAAACAATGACAGGCAATGTAAACAGATAAAGGAGTCACACCTAGAGAAAGGGGGGAAAAAACATGAAACGGGGGACACAATCAGCAACCTGGGGTAATCAACCAGAACACACCCGACAGTAGCAGAGTTAGTACAATCATAGAGAAAAGATGGGGGAGGAACAAAACAAAACCTTCAGGACACAAACTGGGAAGAAAAGAAAAAAAAGAAAGAAAGAAAGAAAGAGCAGGAGAATAATCATGGAGAATGCAACCAGAAAACTGGAGTCACTTTTCCAAAACCAATGAAGACCACCAACAGACAGAGGAAACACAGAGTCCAACCAGGAGATCCAAACCCAACATAACAAATAAAGCATCCATTAGAAGTCAGGAATAAGCACTTAAAGAAAACTTCTAAGTAGCTTGAAAATTTACCCTTAGAAAACAACTCTGGGGGATATGAGTATAGACCTGGGATTCAGAGCACAAAATTAGAAAGTTGGTTGATAACTATGTTATGCACCCAAGAGAGTTGAGGCCTGGGGCACCCACCTGGATGACAGAGAACCCACAATGGGATCCAGACCCTATATGGAGGGGTCTGGATCCCATTGTGGGTTCCATGGAAACAATAAGGAAAGCCATGGTACACATCCTTGGCATTCAACCACTGATCATGAGTACCTGCCAAACACACACTGAAACTATGACATTGGTACAATGTTCGAACAAGTTTTAACACTCCCCAACCAGTGATAACAACCAATATAGCAAGTTGTAACAATGTTCTAATACGTCATAACACGTTAAGCCAAAATGTAACAACTTTATTACAAGTTGTAACAAGCGGAAAATAGAGACAGTTTTAGTTTGTGTTTCCAGGGGTAACAATGTGGGAAGGCAGGGCACACTCTAGAAGAGCCAGAGTAAACTCCAGAGGATCTGGGGAATGCCCCCCCCAGAAACACAACCAATGAAATGGGACAGCGAAGTAAGTAACTGGTCTCAGGATAGGGTGTTTTTGTCTGTGTGTGCACTCTGATAGAATTTGCAAAGGTTGAGAAACTGGGGCATAGTGTACAAAATTTGGATTTCTCACCTGGAAACCTAAGGAACAAAACCAGCAAAACTAGAGCATAAATCTAACCATAGAGTACTACTGTACCACAAAAATCCATGCCGGCACATATATATGTGTGTGTGTGTGTGTGTTTTCTCAGAATGTGTAAAATTTGTTGCAGAAACTACACCAAAGCCAGAGATAGAAGCCCCAAAAGACTACCAAAATAAGAGCCCAAATAAAGAGGAGCCATATTAAACTGAAGGCTGCCTCAAACAACCCCCGAAGATCATAACTCTGAGAGCCATTGGTCACAGACAATTGGCACCAGCTAAGATAACCAAGAAATAATGCTGAAGAAGAATAATGATCCACACACAAACAACTGGACACAAACTGTGTAGAAAACCTTAAGTCAGTGTATTTCCCAGCAAACTGTGAAGAAAACATAATGTACTTCCCAGCAAGTGCTTGGGGCCAGTAAAACCAATAATGCAGGCCATGGTATTTATACGGACCAATAAAGATAGCAAATGTCTAAGCAACACACATTTGTAGATGAAAAAGACCTTGGACCCAGAATGAGAACTGGAGATAAAGGATGACCATCAGTCTCTTAAAAACCTGAAGGAACAAATAGTAAACCTGCAAGCAGCAATTTCAGGCTTTGAAACTGGTTGGAGGATCCATAACCACCTAGCCAGAAAAGTAAACAAACCTTTCTGAAGTAGTTGCGGGCAAGTTTGTACTACCAAGTCAAGGAACATCTTGCCTAATGACAGGCTGCAAGACAGAGAACGAATATGGCTAGCAAACCCAACTCAGCTTGGCAAGGAAGAACAAAAGCAGCAACTGATAAATAATAAATCAAATTACTTTTATAACTTTTTGTGTATCCTGCAAAACCTGGCAGAAGCCACTGTTTGCCATCACATCCATGAAATGGGCAAGCATTCCAACCCCACACACTACCATTATTTTATTCCTGGTAGTTTCTCAATCAACCAACAAATCTCAAAGCATTGTCTGGCACAAATTTGATTACAGAGAAGTCTTCAAAAGGGAGGTAACACAACATCCTCAGAGAAAATTTCTAGAGATTATTAGTTTTTGCTGACCGCACCAGGGATGTGAACCCTGAAACCATGGCTGAAGTATAATTAGAGCACACACAATTAAAGTGGCATACTTGGTCATTAAAACATTCTACAAATATGGAACCCACTATGCATTGACAGCTAAATCTTAAAGATGCCCAGTTAACTTGGTCTTTGACAGGAACCATGTACCAGTACTGTACAGTATTGTATTTCTATCTACTACTGCACAATGCAGGAGTGAGATGACCTCTTTCCAAGAATTTCTAGTTGATCGTGCATCACCTGTTGGTGGTCACGGTAATGGGATAAATGGGTAACTATCTTATTCAGTTGTTGATTTTGTGTTTACAAACAGTACTAAGGAAGATACAATGTTTTAAAGCATTTCTCGGAAGTGTTATAGGCTGTTAAGTCTTAAAAGGATCCCAGCTCTGTAGTGGGTTGATTTTTTATCCCTATGGGCTCTCCACTTTGTAAAGGGGTAAAATATGGCTTGAAGAGGCTTTTGTTAATGGTATGCTTAGATACCCACCAAGAGTCTGGCATAATCACACTGTCCTAATTGCAGATGACATAAGCTATGGGAGCTAACCCAGACAAAGTGATCAGATGTATTATCTAAACTACAGATATGCCTTATTAGCAAGTTTAGTTGGCAAGTTGACAAAAAAAAATTATTTTTATACATTTTGTTGGCCTTTTAATATTGTTGGTGCCATTCTTTATGCAGCACCATTTGAGACGATTTGCACCTAAAATGATTTACTAGAGGGTGCGAGTACTGTATTTAAATTACTATATTTGCAGATGTAAATATTTAGTCCAAAGAAATTAGAGTAAGATCTTGTCCAAACTTAAATTAAAGGAACAATAAATAGATTATGAAATTAAATGAAGATAATAAGTTAAAAGGAAATCAGATACAGAAAGACTTAGACGTAAATAATACTTATAAGAGATACTTTATCACAAAAAAATAAAAAATAAAGCAAAGGATTCAAACAAAATTTTTTAAACTTTTGCGATAGAATTAAGCAAACGAATGGAGACACATTAGAGATAAAATTTTCAACATACTGTACTGTATCCGAGACTCAAAATGGCATATACAGTACCACTATGGAAAGGTTCTCACACCTAACAAAACATAAGTAAAAACAGAAAAATAACAATTTTAAATAAGCAATGAAATTTATTAAAGAACATAGAAATATGAGCATAGAAATAGAAATTAGGAAAGCTTATGATTATGTCCAAATTGTGACACAGATATAAACAAAAATGGAAACTACATAAATTGGTCAAGAGTTTACAATAAAATAGATAAAGAACAAATTTGAAACAAAAAATTAAACAGAACAAGAGCCCACAGATATATAAAGTACAGAAAAGGTGTAAAGAGAAAATAAATTATTTGTGATAAAATATAAACAGAACATTGGATACCCAAGTATAGCTCTTTCTT